TAAGCTGACAGTTAAGCCGTTATCCGATACTAGATGGTCAAGCAGAATTGATGCTATTCGGCCATTTAGGTTCCATGTTGGAGAAGTGTATGACACCTTAATTGAAATCGGAGGTGATATGAATTTTGCTGCTCTTGCAAGAATTGAGGCTTCATCCTTGGCAAAAGAGTTAAACAAGTTTAAATTCTTGTGTTTAATCATCCTTTGGTTTAACATACTAAGTCGAATTAATTCTGTCAGCAAAGTTCTTCAAAGCCAGTCCATTTACTTACCAGATGTTGTGGAACTTTTGGAATCAATCAAGACAATTTTTCAATCTTATCGGACAGATGATGGTTTTGAGGATTTACTTAAAGAAGCAGGAGAGCTAGCAGTGGAAATGGAAATAGACCCAGTGTTCCCCCCTCAAGTACATCAGACGAGGAAAAAAAAGGTTGTTTTTGTATGAGGTTCCAGATGACCCTATCTTAGAACCTAAAAATAAATTTAAAGTGGAATGTTTCTTCACAATATTAGACACAACAATAAAATCTGTACATGAAAGATATGAACAGCTTAAATTTCATTCCACGCATTTTCAATTTTTGTATGACATCCACAAGCTAAAAGATGTGCAAAAAGAAGAACTCCTGCAGTTCTGCATGGAATTGCAGAATGTCTTAACCGATGTAAAATCAAAGGAGTCTGATGTAGATGGAAGGCAACTGTGTGAAGAACTTGCTGTATTGGCTCCTGTTATAAAACCTATGATGACACCTGTTGATATTTTGGCCTATGCAGTGAGGAATGGATTTGCTCCAAATGTGGCAATTGCACTTCGAATTATGTTGACCTTACCAATCACTGTTGCCACAGGTGAGCGAAGCTTTTCGAAACTGAAAATTATAAAAAATTATCTTCGTTCTTCAATGTCCCAAGAACGGCTTGTGGGACTTGCCATGATAGCAATAGAAAATCGGACGGCACAGGAGATTGACTTTGAAACATTACTGAAGGACTTTGCGAATGCCAAAGCAAGAAAAGTTAAATTTAATTAGATAGAATAACTGTTAGAAAGTATTTAAGCTGTTTACAAAGTTGTTTAGCACTTAAATTGTATGCTGCATTTATGTATTTATTTTGCTATGTATTTGGGGTTCTTTGACCATACCATTTGTATTGTTGCACTTATATTATGCAAGTATGCCACTTTAATATAAATGTGGCCATGTGTTTTTCTCTTAACAACTGTATGTT